ACATACAGGTGTGGAATCTCAATCCACACATACAGGTGTGGAATCTCAATCCACACATACAGGTGTGGAATCTCAATCCACACATACAGGTGTGGAATCTCAATCCACACATACAGGTGTGGAATCTCAATCCACACATACAGGTGTGGAATCTCAATCCACACATACAGGTGTGGAATCTCAATCCACACATACAGGTGTGGAATCTCAATCCACACATACAGGTGTGGAATCTCAATCCACACATACAGGTGTGGAATCTCAATCCACACATACAGGTGTGGAATCTCAATCCACACATACAGGTGTGGAATCTCAATCCACACATACAGGTGTGGAATCTCAATCCACACATACAGGTGTGGAATCTCAATCCACACATACAGGTGTGGAATCTCAATCCACACATACAGGTGTGGAATCTCAATCCACACATACAGGTGTGGAATCTCAATCCACACATACAGGTGTGGAATCTCAATCCACACATACAGGTGTGGAATCTCAATCCACACATACAGGTGTGGAATCTCAATCCACACATACAGGTGTGGAATCTCAATCCACACATACAGGTGTGGAATCTCAATCCACACATACAGGTGTGGAATCTCAATCCACACATACAGGTGTGGAATCTCAATCCACACATACAGGTGTGGAATCTCAATCTACACATACAGGTGGAAGCCCTTGTTTATTTTACTGTGGTCCTGAATTTATTCTCAGCTAATTGAGTGACAATACAGCTGTGTTGCTTTCAGGAAGACAGTAGATCGATTTTTGCGGCAGGCATTCGGCTTCGTCTATGTCGTTGATGTAGTAAGTGAGATTTCGCAATGAACGAGAAATCACCTAATTATTGTCTGCCAATAAGCTGGTGATATTGCTGGTTAGTATGAAACAAATTCGCAGCCACTGACAAATTATACAATTTTTTGATACAGGCTTAGGATGGCATCCAATCATAACTTATGTTACAGGCATTTATTTTCAAATGGCGTTCTCAACCCATCATACGAACTGTGGGCTGGTCATTTAGTGTGACGTGGTTTGAGGCCATTTAGTGTGACGTGGTTTGAGGCCATTTAGTGTGACGTGGTTTGAGGCCATTTAGTGTGACGTGGTTTGAGGCCATTTAGTGTGACGTGGTTTGAGGCCATTTAGTGTGACGTGGTTTGAGGCCATTTAGTGTGACGTGGTTTGAGGCCATTTAGTGTGACGTGGTTTGAGGCCATTTAGTGTGACGTGGTTTGAGGCCATGTATACTAGCAGCCATATTAAAAGTGGCTGTAACCTTACCAACATTGAAGTTTGATTCGATTGACAAGTGCTGACAAAGCATTTCATTTTGATTGCTCTTTGGAATGACCTCATAATTATTAGTGGTAGATGGTGACTCAATTATTTGATGTAAATAACATATCAACTGATTGTTGAAAATGTTAAATGAATTGCTAATATTGTCCCAATTATAATGTATTCTTACTATTTCTTCCTGTTTTATTGCTTTTAAAATAACAAACCTGATAAAATAGTTGTTGACGATGTTGATAACGATGCTATGATGGATATGTATTTTACTGAAGATGATGCGATATCATTATTTGCACCTGATATGGATGATCTATTTAAAGACACATCTGTTGTACAAGATGCAAGGTTGGTAATCATGCACATATTCAGTACTTTGACACATTGCTTTGAAACATAGATTCAAATATAGGTGGTCAATTGTACAGTACTGCTGTGGCATATGTTTTAGCTTCTTTTTGCTACAGTATCGCTTCAGCTTTGAATAAAACAAAAAGCAACTTTGCTATTACAGTGTATGTGGCATCGCCTTCACTTCCACATAGCTTCAAGTCAGCTTCAACTCATTTTTCTAAGTACGAGAAAATTATTTTAATGATCTGCTTCAAAACTGAGCTTAATTGTGTATCATAAACAGCAAATTTAGTTCAGTATTCATTTCACCAAACCATTTTCCTCAACGTACTAGCCAATTAAAATTGACTGGAGAGTTCTGCTTTATTTCCATCCATGCAAACCTGCATATACATGTTCACTTTGATTCAGATTTGTCTTTTTGAATTTTTATCCAATCTAAAATTCCAGCATGTCCTATTTGTATCCACTATAATCATATGCACACAATATGACCCTTTGATCTTGGTTGATCTGAAACAGAATATTTTATTCTGAGGAATATTTTGTTTTGACATAAATTTTTACCTTATTGTCGGCGTAATTTATGATTTTCAGCAATATACTGACTTGAATGTAAAAGAAAAAAAATATGATTGCTTGCAAAATAAATTGGCATGTCTGGGTTTCTCCGGATTTACTTTTTACCTAGCCGTATCATCAAAGATGAAAGGGGAAAATGTCTGTCGTTGATGTGAATAATTGTTAATGTCTACTCAATAACTTTACTAATTCTATTCCAAACTTTATCAAACTTGGTCACCTAATTCATCAGTATAAAATCTTCAGATGTCGTGCAAAAATCAGTAGTAGTCAAAATCTGATAAAAAATGTTGACTGTTGCGACTTGGCTGACTACAGGTGATACATATTCAATGGTCCAGTGGAAATATGCATTGTTGTACGTGTTCAATGAAATAAATCATCTATCTTGCAATCAATATCATTGGTAATGTACCTCCCATATTCCCATGGGAATACTAGACTGGGTTTTAATGTCAACTCATGGAGAGAGTTGCACAGTCTGATACATTTGAAAACATACCAATAAAATCATAACAGAAAACAAGATTTCAGATAATAGATATAAACACTCATATCAATAACCCTTTGAGTGTCAAGCTTTTGATCAAGATCTGAAGCCAATGGAAAACTGTGTCTGTTTAGTCAAAAGGTTATCAAAACAAAAATACATAACAGGCATAACGTTGCATCCACATTTGAAAAGAAAATTTTACTCAAAAATATGTATTCTGAATTTGACATACAGTTCATTCAACAAAACATTTTGTTGTCGAAATATATGAATTTTGAAAATCATGATTCGCAGGAATTTGTCTCGGCTATTAGAACACAATTATAGAGCTTTTATAATACTAATTTAAAACCACACTTCAAAAATATAAATCACGATAAGTGCTTGGGGATATCTTCACTTGTACTTACTTGTGATACCAAAGATACAAAATAAAAATATTTATAGTTGTGATATCCATCTTAATGTGTTCAAAATTAATAATTATGACAATGCATATTTATATTGAAAATAAGATAAAGTAAATATTTCACATAATAAATAATATTACATTGAATAATGACACTGCAAGTGATGCTGTAGCAATGACGTAGTGAAACTAAAGCAAAGCTACGTGAATGCTAAATAAATACTGCCCTGGTATAAAAATGGTAGACAATGCAACTTTAACTCATCTGTGTGTCAATCACTTATACTAGCGACACACAGATTAGAAAACACAATTCTAATTATTGAAATATGTTACATTGTGTGAATTAGTCCCGTTCTGACAAAGTCTGAAAACACAAATTTTTAATTTCAACTCTGTGCTAGCTTTAATAATTCATTTGCATCTGTATGGCAAACATGCCTTGGCATTAAAAAATCATACATTTATAATACATGTTGGGAAACATGTGCATATGCTAATAAGTCTGTAATACCCATGATCACATGCTTTTATTTCATAATACAATAAAAATGTCATTCTAGAACTAGATCTTAGTTGTGTATTTTATTCACACTTGCTACATTCATTAAAGCTGATGGGACCTTGATGCGTGTCATGTCATTCTGCTGTTCTTGACTAATCCCATTCAATCATTTGAATCTTCATGTGATACGATGAGATGAGATACATATGCGTGTTTTCTAGATGGCAATATAGCAGCTATGCTAATAATTTATTCATCTGGAGCATCTGCCATTTACAAACAAATGTATAAACATAATGGTACTTCAATGAATTGGTTGTCATTTTGTCTTTTTAAATCGAATGCAAAATGGCTAACAGGTGGTCATTTTGTTTTAATAAATATTTTTCATGAGAAATATCTCTGATATGCCTGCCTTGTTTGTCATGGTTTGTATGTTCACATGCATTCCAGAACGTCAGGATGACAGTGCTGTATACTTTAAATGAGGAAAAGCATGAAATCTGCCTTATGAGGTGTGAACAATTATTTAATGTGAGTTAATTGAGTGACTTTGAAGTAATTCCATTTTCATTTGCTCTTGTTAACAAGTATGTGTATTGTTTTTTTTTCAGCAAAAAGCGAGTTTTGTTTTCTGACCGTGGACAAAAAGAAGCTTCAAGCCACTACAATAATAACAACATCAAAAAAAATTACTGTTCAGTCAAAGTTGAAAAAGACCAACATTCGAAGTTTGAGGAACCTGAACAGTCTGTTTCGTCGCTGGATAACTCTGAAATAATTATAAGAAACAGGAATACTGATAATTCTACAGCTCCTTGTGTAAGTGACAGAACTTCAAAGAAACGGAAAAGAGAAGAAAATAATGATCATTCAGTTAAAAAACAAAGATTTGGAAATAAAACTATTGATAATAAGGTACAGACGAAAGGCAATACAAACAATCCAGGAAACCAGGTAAGTTACACCAGTATTCTCAATGAACAGGGTAACAGATGTACAATGTATGAACCACTTCTTGTCAAAATAGTTACACTGTAGTACTCGTACACATTCGAACACAGTCTGAAAACTGGGACTGGATTGTCCTCTGTGTGCATCTCCATCTGTATCTCAGACATGCTTGAACCAATCACATTCAAACTTTGCACATCTGAATTGTTTTAAAGCTAAAATGTATAAAAAACATTTTAGCCATTTTGCACAGACATGATACATGCATCATTTTGTTCCATATCTGAAACATGCCAATTGTACACCTGCATAATTTATAATTCAATGCGTACATGCATTATAGGATTCAATTCAAGATGATCCAAAGGTAGCCATTTTGTTATAAAAATATCCATCATGTTTGCCATGTCAGAATTGTATCTTGGTTGGCGCTAAGGTTCAGATCAGGTTCAAAATAATAGTCACTAATGCAATTAAGAATAATAGAAAATCATAGACAATCAAATGAAATGATCAATAGACAAATTATGGAGAAATAAATAAAAACAGCTATTCAGAAACCAAAAAAATATGATGGTTACTGCTCTAAGTTTATAAATTATATTTTTATTTAAACCATCATATAAATTGATTTTAAAAACAGAACTTATCCAGAGATCTGGAATATTTAGTTATTGTCACATATTTTTATGAAAGGTGAAGTTGATAATCCAGGTAACCTCAGGGAAGTAGCGAGGCCAAGTTGTATCAGAAAACCATTATGTACCATTATAATATAAATTATAATATAAAATATAAAATTATTAAATGTATATCAATACGAAAGCATGCATTAATTTTGAAAACAAAATCTCAAACTTTGTGGGGATGATACCTTGCAATTATGGGAAAATAGCCAAAATTAGTATGCAAAAATCATCTATTATACAATCAGCACTGATCACCACAGTAGAACAACATGCACAGTGTTCGAAATTAACGTCGGTCCGTCGGCCTCACGCCGACAATGGGTGTAAAGGGCCTAGAGCTGTGAAAAACCATCAGTCCTTGTGACCGACCATAAATTTATATTTTAAAAAAATGTTCCATTATTTAATATGATTGTAAGACCAAATATATAATAAATATCTATAGTAACTCCAGAATTGTTTCAAAATTGCGTTTTCTTGCACGTTTTGATCAACAAATGGCATCACTCATCGACCTGGGCATACGAGTCATAATTCAAGCTCGCCGAATGATCGCGAAATGCGGTGAACGTGGGAACTGTAACAAACGATCTGATTGGATGTAGGCCGATCAAGCCTCCGATTCAAACCAATAGAATTCGCGCATACATTTTATGTTCCGCCATCTCTGATTTGCATCGAACACGCTGCAGAGTTACGTCTACATCGAAGTATGTGGCAATATTTAAACTGCCAGGAGCCTGCTGCTAAACGTGTGAAAACTACACAAGGAAGGCGTGACAAACAGCAAGAATACGAACGGTCTAGGCGTAAAACACGCACATTCCAAGTTAGCTGGCAGGCGGAGTTCAAAGACTGGTTACTTTTTGATAACAACAGCAAGGTGATGTATTGCCGGCCTTGTCGAGGATCGTGCAGCAGAATTGATCCTTGTAGAAGATGAGGCTGACGCCAATGATTGTGAACACGATGCAAAGTACATGTCAGATTCAGTCGGCCAGTGATCATGACAGTGTTTTTTCTGAAGATTTTGATGAGTTTTGTGACGATGAAAGAAATGATGATGACGTCTTTGAGGCTGCAGATAATATATCTGATTAATTAGTAAATAAAGGTTTTGTATTATCCGTTTAGTCTTTGTTTGTTAAATATCAGGGTCTACAGTTAGCTAGAAGGACCTACAGTTTTAATTTGACATAGGTCCTTCGGGCCTGTTATGATTTTCAGTTAATTTCGAACACTGGACATGCAATAAACTCAGATTTTATTTACTAACAGAAAGCCCACTGGCAATTCAGAGACATACAACGTGATATAACAAATTGTAAGAATGACACAGAACTTGCAGTATGCCCTTGATATAAGTTAAGATCTTCGCCATGTAAGAAATTAGCGGGACTCGGGATTGACCTCTGTGCGTGCGTGTATATGTGCATGCATGCGTCTCGACCTATACCTTAGACATGCCAGGATTCAAATACTGGTAAAAATGAGCAGTGTTTTTGTACTATGAATTATGACTTCACCTTTGTTTTTGTCATCAGACGCCGACATTCATAAAAACTTACAAACCTCTTGTGTATCGTGCAAGTATTGATACATATTTAGTGGAAAATAAGCCTGGTGAAGCCTGGAGAGTTTTGAAAACTGCTCCTTTGTGTCTACAGTCTGATGTACATTTGTTGGATCAAATTTTACAACGATGTGAAACTGCTAAGGATCCCGACATTAAACAGGTATGTAAACATTTCATGCTACTCGGTGTTTAATATTTTGACAGAGCTACAGTAATTATGGTCTTTGTAGGGTTACAAAGTAATGTTTGTGTTTGTTAGTCCCCGTTCGGACGCAGTCCGAAAACGGGGACTTATGTTTTGCCCTGTGTGCGTCCGTCCGTCCGTCCGTCCGTGATCACCTGTATCTCGAACATGCATGGACCGATTAAGTTCAAACTCCACTCATACATCACACATTATATGGGACATATGCACATGCATTTTTTTCATGATCCGATTAACGATAGCCGAATAGCGGCCATTTTAAGGCCGAAAATGCATCAAAATCGCACATTTTCACCATTCCGGACCCGGATCTCAGTTATGCATGGACGGATTTCATTCAAATTTGGTACATACATTAAACATAATAGGACCTTGATGCACGTCATTTTTTTTTTCGGATCAAGTTCGAAATAGCCGACTGGCGGCCATTTTGTTTTAAAGAATTCAGTTCTGGATCCGTATCTGAGACATGTCTGGATTGATCAAGTTCAAACTTCACACACACAAGGTACATCATGTCACAAATATGTATGTGCATTTGTTTCATGATCTCATTAACGATAGCCAAATGGGGGCCGCTTTAAGGCCGAAAATGCATTGAAATCGCACATTTTCACCATTCCGGACCCAGATCTCAGTTATGCATGGACGGATTTCATTCAAATTTGGTACATACATTAAACATAATAGGACCTTGATGCACGTCATTTTTTTTTCCGGATCAAGTTCGAAATAGGCCGACTGGCGGCCATTTTGTTTTAAAGAATTCAGTTCTGGATCCGTATCCG